CACATAAAAGCGATAACTATTTATCCACTGCCCGCACGACCAAATGCGGATGATTATCTATTCACACTCTGATGAACAATATAATCCTGTGTTAGTCATTGGTTTAGGTTAACTGTCTTTGTACATATCTCATCCGTCTGAAGACGAACTGGGGAACCAGATTCAAAAATTCACGTAATAAACATTACTCTTACCAAAGAACTTCATTGCTCGTACTACTAATTGTCTGTCGGTGGTTTAATGCATACAACGCGGTCATTCCGCTAAGACTAATAGACTTCTGCACAAATACTGACATCAAATGTCGGTCTATGCCTATAGACCCTGAATATATTGATCTACACCAAGGTCAAAATTTATTAGTCAAGGAAATTTAGGAGCAAATATTTAAAACCGCTTTACCAACCAGAAAACACACAGGCAATGCTGAGGGACGCACTGATCAGTCAGGCCCCTCGCAGCTGTGTCAAACAGCGATACAATAGGAACGAAATACATACCTGGCTTTTTGCTAGTACCTACACTGCCATCATGGTGAATAATTCCATAAGTTTAAAAACGTTTCTAGAGAGTTATAATTCGTCTAATTGTGTGTACAGGCAACGGGTCTTTCGAATGTCAGCATTAATTAAGGCTTAGAAACCAGCACGTCAGTTAATGCTGTTTTTGTTCAATAGCAAAGGCCGAGTGTTTTTGGAGACCAGTGTATTTGCTGAGTAGTTTCTTCTAGTATTTTGGTAATTAATTGCAGTTAATTCCTTGACATTATATCATACTACAAAAACCATATTTCACTTTTCACCTACATCTTTATTTCAGGCTATACAACACATTTTTGGGAGGTGTTACAGCATTCACATGGGACCACGTAGCGAAAATTAATGGCGCTTCAAATATCTACTTCGGTTGGGGAGGTGAAGATGATGACCTGTATATTCGGCTGAAATTGAATAATATTACAGTGGATCGACCTGCGGAGCGCGAAGGAATTTTTGATGAATTCGATCCAAATCATCCGCGTGAATACAACCCTGAAAGATTCGCACTTTGTTCTCCAAAGAATGTAACTGCCCGGTGGCGAAACGATGGAATTCAGCAAACACGCTATCGCCTTCTCAACAGAATTGACTACGATCTTTTCGTCTGGCTTTTTGTGTCCGTTTAAGTGACAAAAGGTCCTTTCAAAGCTTTTTTTGAGAATTGTGAACTATGTACATCCCTGCCTAACGGGTGTTACGTCTCGAAACGCCAGGATGTTTTATTGTCAAATGTGCTTTCAAGACGATTTTCAGAGACATACACAAATTTGTAAAATAAATATTTTATGATATTTACCGGTTCATAGTGCGAGAGACTTTTGTTATCACAGTGCAGACAGCCCAGCTGATGGGAATTTATGCACCAGGTAAAAGGACAGGGAAAATTAGACTGAGATCTTCCATTGTGGCTCATTAGTAATCGTCAGACAGTGATAGGCGATCATATATTTGCGGAAAAATGTAGCCTTGTATCCTTGTTAGATACAATCGAGACTGTAGATCTCTATATCGGTTGACGAACGTTAACTGATTTGATACTGGACAACCTGGTCCCGTTTTACCTTCGGGCGGACGCACGAACCCCGCCGACAGGTGCCAAAAAAAGCCGAGGAAGACTTGAATGGCCATTTCTGCCTTATGAGACAGCATCACCCATCCATGTAAAACTGCAGAGATGGCGAGCCCCAGACTCAAAGCCCCCACCACGCTAGTTTGATGTCCAACGCTCTAACCACGACACCAAGGGCTAGTTGCCTCACCAGTTTTGTTCAGGAATATACGCAATTGTTCATAGGCACTCATCAATCCACTACGGAACCCACAAGTCCCGTTGTGTTTTGGGGATTGCTCTAGGGCCCATCCAGAAGCTTTTTTAAAATTAGAATACAGTATTGACCAAATTACATTGGGGGGGGGGCGGAACGCAGAGGAGAATGAAAATGTCATTTCCGGTTACCTAGGTGTCAACAGCCAGCCATAACCAAGCCCGGGTCGCAGACCATGCTGCAAAGGTGGCCAAAGCAGCGATGTCACCGCGTAATTACGCCCTGTGGGAGTTCCATGGAAGAAAACGACAAGAAGAGCTCAAAAGCAGAGATGTTTTCCTGCAAATAGTTCAACATATTTAGGGTAAGAAACGTGTTTACAGCCATTTCAATCTGTCCAATCAGATACTGTCCTGGCGCGAGTAGCGACACGATTGGCTTGTGAATCAACGGCTGGCTTGCCAGAGTCTTAGCCTGGCCGAAGCTTTAAATTTTAAATTATGGATTGATTGATTGTCCGTTTGCGTTCGCCACGTGTAGGCAGATCGGTAGCCTGCCGTGAGCGCGGCTCGCTGCCTGCCTGCTCGCGTGTCCGTTAAGACTCCTCCAGCCTGGGCTCAAACCCGCGACTTTACCAGTTAGACTTCTAACTCTAAACATTTTGCTACAGGATCCTTGCCCAGCCGTTGTCGATTGGGAATATACACTACTCAGCTTTTTAATCTCCCGAGAAATTAATTTCTTTTCGTGTTATATATCAATATATTTAAGATCTATAGGCGTAGACCGTAATTGTAAGTGTATATTTGTCTTGAAACCCGTCAACCCCCGTGAAATATACACCTGCTGCTATCAGGCAGTCTTTAGTAGTATAAATGGATGTTGCAAGTACCTAGGCTGTTATTATGGTAGGTTACAACTTCACTTTATACTACTAAAGACTGCCTGATGGCAGCAGGTGTATATTTCACAGATTTTGACGGGTTTCAACACAAATATACACTTACAATTACGGTCTACACCTATAGACCTTAAATATATTGATATGAAACACGAACAAAATTTTATTTCTCAGGAGATTAAAAAAGCTGAACATTCAAAACCGGTATATCAACCAGAAAGCAGGTAGGGAAAACTGGGGGACCCACTGATGAGCCGGACCCCAAGCAGCTGTGTCCAGCAGCTGCAGAATACCGGCGAAACACGTGTCTGGGCCTTTAAGCAAGCACCTAGACTGTTAGTATTGTAGGTTTAAACGTCAATATACAATATGTTAGACAGGCGGTCACAAGTTGTACCATACCATAATAACAGTCCAGGTACTAGCTAAAAGGCCAAAACACGTAGCTCGCCGGTATTCTGCCGCTGGTTGCAACTGCTGCGAGGTGTTTGGCTGAAGCAGCTGCAGAATACCGGCGAAACATGTGTCCGGGCCTTTTATCTACTACCTGGGCTACGCGTATGCTCCGTTGCAACATCACTATATACTTCTACAGTTTGCCTGTTATCAGCATGAACATATAAGGTAGCGATTGACTGGTTTCACTCGAAATATACACTTACAATTGCGGCCTTTGCCTATAAACCTTAAATAAGCTGATGATTACCGTGCTCAGCAATTAATATTTAGGGAAATTAAAAAAGGCTGAACTCACAAGTCCCGTTGTGCCTTCGGGTTCGTTCGCAAGCCCTTCGGCAGCGGCTCAACGGATGGAATATTGTATAGGCCGAATCGAATAACCGAAAAAAAACAAGGGAGTCTGGAGTGGTCATTGCAATTCGTTTGGGGTACGTGCTAAACGAGAAAGGTTTACATATGTCGTTGCTGATGCCCTTGAACTCCATAATATTTACTTGGGGGTTTGGCAGATTTGCTTAATTCAAGTTGACCCAATTGTGAAAAAACTCGCGGCATTTGGCGGGATCTTAACCCGCATAGTAGGGAAGGCCTTAACCCGAAGCCAAGGCTCTACCATTAAGCTACAAATGCCACGCTTCACACCGTGAGTTTAATCACAGTTGGATCGACTTTAGCCGCCCAACTTCGCAGCTCTTATGGAATCCACCAATACGGAACAGCAAGCTGACTGCCCAAGCAGGATTTCTTAAGCAATCATCTAGAATCCATCAAAATGACTACAAGGCTGACACTATTATTAGGGGGTTCGGCAGATTTAAAAAGTGTCGCCAATGATAGACTGATGCATGCAGTACGTTGGAAAAATAATTGTATATGGAAATAGAGTTTACATTTCTGGTATGCCAGATGTGCTAGAGTTAATAAACGTATTAAAATGTATTAATTAAAACTCCTGATGATAATTCACTAAATTCTAACCGTATTGATCTGTGCTGCTCCGGCTAGGGCTCATTCTCTGAAAAAACCAAAAGCCATGAAGTTGCCTGTACTTTAGGCAGATAGCATTGACGGCAAAAACAATGGGTCCTTTAATGTCTATTTCTGGCTCATATTTCGTCATCAGCTAGTCAAACCACACCCCAACAATGTGCAACACCAGATTCCGCGAACATTTGATGAATAATCCAACGCTCAAACTGTCGAACCATGGGGTCGTTGTGTTCTGGGCTTA